CTTCTTAATAGCCTCCTTCTTCTCTAAGCTCCCTAGCACTAGCCCGTTATAGCTAAGGCCCTCGAGGATGCCTATTTCGTCTATATTAAAGCGTGATTCCGGTGGGATTGCCTATATAGCAGGCAGCTTAAGCAATTAGAACTATTCCTTAATCCCGCTAATAGAGGCGCCGTTAATACGGGCAGAATTAAGAGATTTACCTTTGATCGTGCTAATCTCTAGGTTTCGGGCTAAAAAGCTCGAAACCTAGTGTTTTCTAAGCGGGCGGGGGTCTCTACTAGCTACGATAATACGGCCGGCGAATTCCCTAAGTTAATAATACGTTAGAGGCAGCCTAAGGGCCGCTTAGGCAAGAACCTATTTATAGAGGTGTTTTTCCTGCTCTTAACTAAGCCTTTAAGATACCTCTTTTGCCTCCTTTATAGGTAGGGCTCCTTTAAGACGCGTCTAAAGGGTTATTCTTAGAATACCCTACTTACGACTAGCTTAGAGCTAAGGTATGCTATTATTAATAGCTTCGAGCGCTTCTTAGAGCTAGTTTTCGGTATATTTAGAAAGACGAGGTATCGCTAATTCGAATAATATTTATTTTATAATTATTAAATAAGAGATACACGAGAAAACGCGGTCACGATATAGTGGGTAGTCAACGCGATAGTGATATAGGGAGGTGCCGGAAGTAGGGGGTGCCGGAAGCTAGGGGTGCTGACTTATAAGGAAGGCAGAGGAAAGAAATCTTAGAGAAAAGGGGGGGAAAGGTCCCTAGAGAAATACCTATAAAAATCAAATCTTAAATTAAATCTTACCCCTTTTCCTCTAGGTATCTATTCTATACCTAGCTTTACCGGAATCTACTTATTCGGAAGGAAAACGGGTCTTTCTTTGTACTTAACTTCGGGTATTTTAAACGGGCTTTTCGTACTTATTCGTTAAGACTACTTAAAGGTGCCTGCCGCGTCGGCTGCTGCGGACCGTGCCGGGAAGGGCGGAAGGAAGGATCTCTTGCGTATACTATTATTGTTGTCGGAAAGGTCGTCTATCGCGGAAGTCGTCTACTAAGGAAAAAGGTCTATCGAGAAACAAGCTGTCTACCGTAGAGGAATTCGTCTGCCGTAGAGGAATTCGTCTACCGTAGAAGCTGTCTGCTTGGGAAAAGGTCCGTCTGCTATAAAGGAATTTATCTGCCGAAGAAAGGTTCGTCGAGGAATAGGCTGTCTACCGGGGAAGAATTCGTCTGCCGAAGAAAGGGTCTTATCGAGGAAGAAGCTATTTGCTAGAAGAGGAAATCGTCCTTGAGGAATTCGTCTGCGGAAGAAGCTATCTGCTGGAGAAAGAAATCGTCCTTTAAGGAATTCGTCTGCTAAAGAAGCCGTCTGCCGGGAAAAGGTCCGTCTGCTGCAAAGGAATCCATCTACTAAAGAAGTCTGCTGCTAGTGAAGTCGAAGAACCGTTGTCCGGAAGGAGTCTGCTGCTAAAGAAGTCTGCCGAAAAAGTCGTCTATTATAAAGGAAGAAGTCTACCGAAGAAGAATCCGTCTGCTAGGGAAGGTCTGCCGAAGAGGAATTGGTCGTCTATAGAGGAATTCGTCTGACGTAGAAATCGTCCGCTAAAGAAGAATCCGTCTGCCGGGAAAAGACTATCTACTAGGACGTCTGCCAAAGAGGAAATCGCCTGCTATGACGGAAGAAGTTGTCTGCCGGAACCGTCTGCCGAGGAAGAAATCGTCTGCCGGGACAGAAGAAGTTGTCTGCTAAAGGAAGGGGGGGGGGAATAAGGCAAAAGAGAGGTGCCTGCAGTCTCTTAGTGCGTAATCGGATAGTCAGAATAGGTGCCAAGCTCTTGGGTGCCAAAGGGAGCTATTCGTCTGGGCTATTAGTGCTAAAGGGAGCCGTTGGTCTAGGCCGTTGGTGCCGAAGGAGCCGTTAGGACCATCTGATCGTGCGGGAAGGAAAAAAATGAAAGGAAGCTGCCGTGCTAGACGAAGAAGACTGCCGTGCTAGAGGCGCTGCCGAAGAAATTATCGAAGAATGCCAAAGAAAGAGACTACCGAAGATAAAGACTTCCAAATATAAAGACTGCTAAAGAAGACTGCTATAGAAAGAGCTTGTAAAAAACCGTAGCCGAGGGGGCGGTCGAGACAGTAGCTAAGGAAGCTATCGGACTATGGCCGAAGGAGCTGTCGAGACTGTAGCCAGGGAAGCTGTCGGGCTGTGGCCGAAGGAGCTGTCGAGACAATACCCAAGGAAGCTGCCGGACTGTGGAGACTGCCGGACCAGTAGAGACTGCTGGACCAGTAGAGACTGCTGGACCCGTAGAGCTATTGGTCCCATAGAAGCTGTTGGTCCCGTGGAAGCTGCTGGTCGTATAGGCTATTGGTCGTATTCCCTCCTTCTTCCCTAGACGAATAGGGGGCCAAGGGATCATCTAATTAAGAAGAGGGCTAGCCAGAGACTCTGCCAAGGATCCTGCCAGGGACCCTGCCAAAGAATCTGCTGCGCGGGCTGTGTGTTCCTTCGGGAGAGTCAGTCTCAAGATATAGCCGCCAACAGCCTAGGTGCAATATCTCGTATGCATCCCGTGGAAGCAGGGGCCTCGTTTCACGACGCAATAACGATGCTGCCAACACCGGCACCTTTACTGCCGAGGAATATCGATTGCCCGTTTGGGATAGTTGACAACTCGGTAATCCCAGCCTGGTTCAACTTGCCACCTTTCTATAGGTAAGTTTCTAACGTGGAAGCTATAAAGCCTATATGGCGAATTGACTTCTAACAATGGTTTTCTGAATCACTTCGCTCATTCTTGTACTATCCTCGCATGACTGGGGGACGTCGTGACCTCCTTTGTGCTCGAAGACTTCGGCAAATGCCGAGTTGCATAGTCGTAAAAGCTGCTTCGAGTGCCCGGATATGAAATCTTCCCGACCCCATATGTGGGCGGTAGGCAGGTCGAGCCTGTCTTGATGCAGATCGGGATGGAATGCGCGGGGCCTTAAATGAGATTTTGTAGGATCTGCCACGAGGTCGAGGGCTTTTCTCAACCTAATCTCCCCCTCTGGGCTTATATCACGCTGCATCCTCTGCTGTATTTCTGACAATCGCTGCATTTCCAGCTTTTTATTTCGGCCTTTTTGCTGCCAAAGCGATGCGTCGGTGCTTAGAGGATCTTCCCCCGTGAGAACGCCGAGGTAGTCGTGACCGACGGAGCTGCTCCACGAGAGGGGAAGTGAGCCGCTCATAAATATGGCGAATTGAAATGGCAACGGCAATGTCGGGTTCTCCATCTGATTTTTAAGAAGCAGAGATGCAGCGAGCCAAGAACCCTGCAATCACACATTTACATTAGTCTGCCTTCTCGTGGGATAGAGCACAGTACCGTACTTCACATGATCCCATCACTCCATCGAATGGCCCATTGTCTCGTATGTAGTCTTGTAGTCGGGAAAGCGCGACGTCAACTTCGTCGGTTGTTAGGCCGTCTGTATGTGACAGGTATGGGCCGGAATGATAGGCGTAAAAGATGTCAAGAGGCTTAACGTGGTATCGTCCATCGAGCCACTCGTAGGAATAATCTTCCGGTAACAGGGCCCTTAGCTTTTCGGTCCTCGCCTGGAATACATGGCCATTAATCGCAAGTCCGTGAATGCAAAGGATACGCATTTCGAGGGACGGCGGGACGGCTTGAAGAAGCGGCGCTTGTCAAAGTGCTTGATTTACGGGGCGGGACAAGGAGTCGACACCTTATAAGGGAGAAAACGTAAAAAACCCCGGGATGGAAATGAATTTCGGCACGCGATGATGTACGGAAACGCCCAACGTTTGCAATTTACCGTGTTCTATTTGCCGCTTGTAACATAGAGCCTCTATTATCCGGAAGCGGCAGCGGAGCGGCAGAGGGCCGACTCGATGGATGACGGCGGCGCCCCCCCCCCCCCCTCCCCCGCTTGGTTATCCATCAACTACCTACGCACTTCGTCCTCTCCAGATGAGTCAGGGGGCTATCATCCCATCAGTCCCGCGTGCAGTATGGGATTGGTGCCCTTGGTTCAGGGTGGGGACCGTGGGGGAAGGCATGTCCTCCAAATCCGCCGACTGGAACGACAAACTCCTGTCAACATCGATGTGACCAATCACTTGGGGGCCCTTGGTGAGTCACTGACTCACTCACCCATCAAATATCTGCGCAAGGGCCGCATCCTACCTTAAGTGCCGAGTGCTACGGAATCGGCTTCTTACAATCGTGGGCTGCCACGGCCAAATTCCCAAGCTGCCATGGCCGAATATATTTGGCGCCTTGTTTAGATTTAGGTCGGGAACCCTTAGATGTACCTAGTCGTCGATCCGGTCCTTGACCGGAACAAGTTAAGAACAAATGCTTCCCGTAGAAAAAGATTCTTTTTGCTAGCTTACGAACCAGCTAAATAAACGCCTGGCCCGTTGCTTAGTTGATTTCCGCTGTTGGTATGGGGCGTAAGACTTATCTAGTGCTGTGGCGCAACTTTCTGCAATAGCACAGTTGCGCTAGATCTATCCGTCTAGCTACGACGGTGCGCACATACACGTTAGCCGCGCACCGTCGTAGTTAACCTATCATGGGAGTTCCAAAGCCCCTGTGCTGTTGATAGTACGAAGTCGGAAATCAATTACTACGGTGAAGGCCGCAACGAACGGACTCTGAATCTTGATGCGTGCGTAGGCTGATGTCCGTCATCTTTCCTCATGCGTCCCTGTTGGTGAAGGTGGATCGAGCAAGCTCGCTGAAGAGAAACGACCTTCCGGAGTGATTCCAGGGTAAAACCGCACTCAGACCTGTTCGGTCTTAAGATCATTGTCTTTCCAATATCGCTCGTCTCCCTTTCGCTCTATGGCATTTTCATCATCATGGGAATGCGCGTCGACAGGTAAACAGGGTCACTACAACTATTAATTTAGAGCCATGCCAAGAAAACCAATAACTCATTACAGTACACAAACTTTAGAGAACTGATAATTTGTGCCCCATCAGTTCTTTACAATCAACTGCGATCTGCCTGCAATCTTCCTACAAACATCGCTGATCGGGGCGTTGCTTGTCAGGTCGAAAATACTCATATCACTCTTAAGCTCCTTGGCCAACCAGTTGCGTAGCTCCACTGCCACGAGGCTATCGACGCCGTATGTATGGACCGGCTTGGTCGTGTTGATGTCGGTTACGGCCACCGAGACAATCTTAGAAATCCTCGCCAGCAGAATCTGCTGCACCGTGTCGATAGCCTCGTCTATTGACTTGGATCGCCTGAGCTGGTCGAGAAGCTTCTGACCCTCAGCCTTGTCGCCAACGTCTGTCGCTGCTTCGTCCTGGACGTCTAGCTCCCGAAGATAGGCAAAAGACGCAAAGGTCTGGAGCCAGGAGAAGTGAGCATCGGGATTCGTTTTCTGTGCGGCCTGCATTATACCCCCGCTGCAGGCTCCGACCAGTAGCTGCCTTGGCAAGGAGTTCTTGCCGTCGCCGGTGCTGGCCAGTGCACACTGAAGGAGGTGAAAGAATTTCTGCTCGTCGATTTTGGTCTGGACGGCCCTGTTAAAAGACATCCTGGAGCCCGGATAAGTGGGGGAGATGTTGACTTACCAACCCAAAATCATTCATGCGTGCCGCAACGTCTTGGTGCTCGTGTATATAGCCAATCCCCCCTATAACCCCAAGGTCAATGCTCTGGGCCGCTAGGCCTTTCGAACGTCGGTAGTGGACTAGTGCATCTTGGTATGTATTTCCTGCTGCGTAGTTGGCCTGTGAGATGGAACCGACGATGCCGGCCAGAGAGGAGAGTAGGACAAAAAAGTCCAGACCATCCGGGAGTAGTTGGTGCAGATTCCAGCTCCCTATTCCTTGGTTAGAATCCCAGTAATCCATCATCGCAATGCATCCCGTACCTTGTATCTTGGGCTTCGTCGCCGTGGCCCATTGTCGGTAACTCATCTTATGGAAAAGGCTATCGTCCAGCACCATTGCGCCTTGAATCACTCCCCGGATTGGCGGCATGTTATTGGATATATTATCCAAGACCGCCCGCAGCTGCGCTTTATCCGCAACGTCTGCCGCGTAGGCTTTGGCGTTGACTCCTTGCTTTACCAAAGTTGCGACAAAGTCCTTGTCCTCCTGTCGCGCGCTCCCAGAGCGAGATACAAAGACCAGGTGACAAGCACCATGCTCTGCCATGAACAAAGCCTGGGCCCGACCGAGCCCGCCGAGGCCGCCGACCAGCAGGTAGGTTGCATCCGGCCTAAGTCGTAGAGTGGCCGGCTTTGGCGGTATAACGGGCGCTTGCGAGTCGGATGTAATTCGGAGAACCAGTTTGCCGATGTGTGATCCGCGCTGCATCTCCCGGAACGCAGATTCAATATTCGAAATGTCGTACGACACGATGGGTCGTATATGGTCGACGTCGCCTGCTTCAAATAGCTTGAGCACTTTCGACACCAGTTCCGAGGCTCGAGGCGGGTCTGAGATGATCATATCCTCGAGGTTGAAGCCTGCAAAAAGAGTATTCTTAAGAAACGGTTGCATATCGAGCCCAGCGTTGCTAAGGAGGTCTTTCTTCCCGACCTCTATAAATCTGCCGTAGGGCGCAAGACACATCCAACTCCTACGTAGTGCCTCGCCCGCCAGCGAGTTCACAACGACATCGACACCTCGGCCTTGAGTGACACGCTTAATGCCCGCATCAAACGAAAGGTCGCGGGAGCTAAAGATATGGTCGGGCATAACGCCGAGAGCAACGATAGCCTGCTTTTTCGATTCGCTACCAGCGGTGCAGAAGATTTCGGCTTCCAAAAGTTTGGCGATTTGGATAAGAGCCTGGCCCAAGCCTGCAGAACAAGTCAGCCATTAAGAACCAGCAACTAACAGGACCTTTAGGGGTGTCTTGCCTCCGGCTGCGGCATGGATAAGCACAGATTCTCTCTTTTTAAGTCTCGCGATTTCGATCAAGGTGTAGTATGCAGTTGAATAGGCAACCGGAATTGAAACTGCGTCCTCGAGCGAGAGAGCTTTAGGCACAGCGTGCACATTTGCTTGGTGAGTTTGAATATGGGTTCGTATGGAGCCTGGCGCCATCTGTATAACTCGATCACCGGGAGAAAATCTGGTCACCCTGGTCCCTACCCGGCGAACAATACCAGCAGCCTCATAGCCCAAGACAGGACGTTGAATCTCGCCCATAGCAATCATAATGTCCCTATCCAGTTAGCAACGCAGCCTGGAGCCCGTAGAAACCATGGGCCCAAGACTTACAAGAAATTCAGGGCGCACGCCTGGACTTCGATGTAGACCTCGTCATCGAGCAAGTGCTGAGAGGCGGCCTCGTCATCAACAAAATGAAGCGTGTCTAGCATACCGGGCTGCCCAACCGCCAGCTTTAGAGGGCGACCGGCCTGGATGAGACTGGTAGTTTCTGGCGCAACATCCGAATTAACGATCCGCGCGAGGGTGCTATTTAGAGCTTGCTCTGGCATGTAGCGAGGGATGGCGAAGACTCCGTTCTGCTCCACGGTCTCCATTTCGTCGGGTCCGCTTAGCTCAGTCTGCCAAATGCTGCAGATCCTGCGGCTTATGACTGAACTCGCCGAATCAACATCACCCTCCTCCAACGGCCTGCAAAAGTGCAGCTCGTGCGGTCGGCGAGATCCGTCCTCGGATTTAAGGCATCGAATGAGCCCAGATACAATGCGCTTGCTGGGGTGACCTGGCCCGTCATCGGGATCCGATCTGGTTACCCAGAGCACTTGTTTGTTATAGAGAAGAAGATGCTTGACTTGGTTGAATCGATCTTGCTTAATATCCTCAAAAATTGGCAATTCATACTCTAGGAGGGAAATGACGGTTGAATCCTGGACCTCAGCCGACGCGGCCTTGAGGTTTTTGATGACCACGTTCGCGTGGAGATGCTGTAGTTTCCTGCGAATTTGAAACCCAAGTCTCTCGGTGAATTCGGAGCCATCATCAGGGACAACGACCACGACGGTCTTGGGTGAGGCTTCTGCCCGATTATGAGGCTTGGTGCTGACCATGTTGGACACCCTGTGAGCGTCGACATCATCATTGTCGGATAAGACGACGTCGGTGCCAGAGAATCCGGCTTCCTTAAGAGCGTCGTCCCATTCCGACTGAAGGAGCAGTGGTCCATTTTTCCTTCCGTCCTCGGCAGCCCACCATCCAGGAAGGACGCCGACTATGAAATGGCCGATGTCATTGCGGTTGGTAATCTCACCAAGGACAAGGTTGCCGCCGGGTTTTAGCAAACGCTTGCAATTTTCAAGCGTACGCTGGATATTCTTGGTGGCGTGGAGGACCTGCAAACACATTAGCATCGGATTCAGGGTTGGGCTCAGCACACACTTGCAACTGACATTGACGGCAAGCACAACATCGTATGTCTCGGCCTCGAATCCCTGGTCCACAGGATCCTTCTCAATGTCCAGGACCTTATACTCGACACGCTGCTTCCAGTCGCCCAACAAGATCCTTGCATTTTCGAACCAGCCCGGGGAAATGTCGGTAAAGGTCCACTTAGAGAAGCGCGGCGTTCCAACTCCGTCGTTTCCTAGCTGTTGTAGTACGGGGAGGGTTGTTGCGGCTGTTCCGGCACCGATTTCGATGACTCTCAGGCTAGGTTTCTTATGCGCTTTAAGATCGAACCAGTCTCGGAAGATCTGGCTGGTAACAGTCATGCCATGGGCCTCCCGATAATATTTCGAAAAGTTCTCGTTTGCCATCAGCACGGCGATAGGGACCGCCTCTTGGGCAAAGATGGCATCTAGCGAGTCGAAAACGTGGCGCAAAAGGTTTCCGTCGACGGGATATTTCTCAGAAAAGTCTTTCAGTCTCTTCAGTACCCATGAGTCGTCTCGACTGGTTTCCTGAGACTCTGTATGGGGGCTGACCGGGGGAGTGAAAACGCCCCCATCGTCAATTCCGCACCGCGCCCGTAGCCATCCGACATATTTCTGCAGATGAGGTGGGAGCGAGCTGGTGCTCGAGCCTATCTTCTGCAAAGCAAGCCGACATAACTCGGTGACGATGTTATAGCTCTCGAAGCAAAACTTGCCCATGTCGAGATCATCTGCCAACTTGCTGAGGACTAATCTTCGCAGGTCCGACGTTCCAAGGAGTTCCAAATCCGGCTTCCAAGTAGGTGATGCGTAGATCCTAGTACTGCTGGCCTCTTCAGCCAGCTGGGAAGAGCTGCGCGTGGAACCCAGGCCCGTCGTTCTGATGTCATCAATGATGAGGCCTGGAAGAGTGTCGAAGCTTCCATCGCCAGCCATGATGCAGCTCGCCATCTCTCGAGGAGAGTTAAGCGAAGTGTCGCATATGCCGTGGAGAACGTCTCCGTGCCTGCCGGCAATATCGCTTGAAACTCGTATCGAGTTGGCGGCAGTCGGAACCCAGGCTTGCTTGGGGACGCCATCCATTCTAGGGACTGCAACCATGACAGTCTGAATCACGGCGTCAAGCGTGGAAGGGTGGAGAAGGTAATCGCTCTCGCACGACTCGGGCATAGTAGAGCGCGAGTCTGGAATTGTGACCTCAAACGAAGCCGTGGTTCCATTTTGGTGAATCTTGGACAGGCCCTGGAAGGTATTACCTATTGAGAGATTAGTGAGTCTGCTGTTGGGTATCCCGGGAACTCCAACTTACCAAAGACGATGCCTTGGTCCTTGCAGAATTCGAAATGAGTCGAAAGAGGCACCTCATGCTCACATGCTCCGTGCTTGTCTACCCACCGTTTCCGATGGGCCAGAATCTCTTCTCTCAGTTCTTTGCCTCCATCGACTTCAGTCGGCTGCCTCGCGTGCTGCACCTGAGCGAGCCCGCAGGCGTGTTCCACAAACTCGTCTCCCTGCTGGCACGAACAGAAGGAGAATTCAAACCAAGAGCTTTCAGCGCCGCGCATGCCGAGCTTTCTTCGTTTTAGATGCAGATAAGTTTCAATACCGGCATCGTCGTTTGGAATAATCAGGGGCCGGGAGATTGAAATATCCCGCAACTCAAAGCCCGAAATGTTCTTGACGTGGCTGTTGGACGCTGCATGTTGACGAAGAGCTTCGATTACTGCGCATATCATGCCGGCCGCGGGGAAGACTATGTCGCCGTGGACCTGGTGGTCTTTGAGCCAGGGCACCTCCGATAGGCGTAGATAGTTCCTCCACACGGGTTCTAGCGGATTTTGAGAAGCGAGTTGAGACCCGATTAGATCGTGCCTCGGAAAGGCGGGTGAGCGCTCGTTCCTTGAGACGCGTGTCTCGTGCCAGTACGACGTAGAATGATTCCAGCGGTAGGAGGGTAAGTTGGCCAAGACAGTGGCGGGCTCAGACGTCTCGCCCATCCTATTCAACTATTACAACGTGTTAACAGAAAGCAGGACGCCGGGGGAAGACAACTCCTTTCTTACCCTGGTGAGATCGACCGATGCGCCCTTCATCCATAAGGAGGCGGCGGCTGTCATAGCCGTAAGCGACGCGCCCTTGCCCCGCGAGAGGAGAGAGCAGTAGTCCAAGTGGTCTAAACCGCCACGGGCCACTTTGAATTGCTGGATCGGGCCGCCTAGTGCTCCGTGGGGCCCAATCTCGACGAGCAAGTTTGTCGCCATAGACTTTCTCTTCATTTCCCTCGTCTCGGTGTTTGCATATACCATGTCGTCGAGGGCCGACACAAACTCAACTGGTGAACACATGTTGTCGACCCAGTAGTCAGCTGTGAGCTGGGCAGTCGGGACCTCCCGACCCAAGACGGTCGAGTAAAACGTGATTGCCGAGTTTTTAACCGGTGTAATGTCGCTGATGCTCTTCAGATAGTCATCGCGGACGCTGAGCATATGTTGGCTATGGTAGGCATTGTCCACCTGAAGTAGACGACAGAATATGTTTTCCTGCTCAAAAACCGTCCGTAGGTCTTCCAAACTTGCCCTGTCGCCTGTGAGCGTGATGTTGCTGGGACTGTTGACGCATCCCACCACGACGGGAGGCTTGGAGCGAGCTAGATACGGCTGGACCTGCTGCACGGACAAGCCGACAGCCATCATGGAGCCGCCGGGGCAAAGTGTCTTGGCTTTCTCGGAGACGACGCCGCGTTGGTAGGCGATGTTCAGGCAACTTTCTCGAGACAGGGCCTGGGCGGCGTAGGCGGCGGCGATCTCGCCAGAAGAGTGGCCAACGACGGCAGAAGGCTTGACCCCCCAGTGCTCAAGGAGGTCCACAAGCGCCATCTGAAGGACTGTGCACAAGGGCTGTGAATAGCCGGCCTGGTTCACGTTGGACGCAGACTCGGACTTCATGAGCTCGCACCAGGCATCCCATGGACAGCCCAAGGCAGCCAGACAGGCAGCAGACTGTCGAATAGATGATGCGAAGACGTCAAAGGAGATTAGCTCGCGTCCCATGGCGTGCCATTGCGCGCCCTGTCCGGTGAGGACAAAGGCTATGTTCGTACGAGCGTTGACCCTGGCAGCCTTAAGGTCAGGATTCCTCCAGCAGGCCGCGAGTGCGTCGATAGAGCCGGCAACCACTGCATGCCGCCACTGAAAGGTAGACCGGCGCTCGCCCAGAGTATAGGCATAATGCAGCAGCATGTCAGCCGTGCAGTGTGCCTCAACATGGTCGGCGTGTGCCCGGCACTGCCGCGCAACGGCGTCTTTCTCAGGGGCCGAGAGCACGAAGACACGGGCCTCGGGGCCTGCAGATTCGTTCTCGACAGCTACAGCATCCGGCCTGTTTCGAGGTGCGCTTGCCTCTAAGCTCAGCAGGCCGTTGGCCGCCGGCACCTTGGCTTGGCGGTAACTGCGCCCGTCGTCGAGGATGATATGGGCGTTGGTGCCGCCGAACCCGAAGCTGTTGACTGAACATCTCCGTGTTTCGCACTCTGGCCATGGGACCGGCGCTGTTGGTATGACGACGTTGGAAGATTCGAGCTGCAGGCGAGGGTTGGGCTTGTCAAAGTTGAGCTGGGGCGGGATGATGCCTCGCTCCATTGCAAGCACACACTTGACTAGGCCTGCGAGGCCGGCCGCCGCCTCCGTATGCCCGATCTGCGTCTTTACCGAGCCGCCGTAAAGCGTCGACCTGTTCGGGCTGGCCATTGCCCTGGAAACGGCACCCATCTCGGTAGGGTCGCCGGCCCGGGTCCCGGTGCCATGGAACTCGACGTACTGCGTGTCAGCGGGATCAAGACCGGACATCTGGTACGTGGCACGAATCAGCCTCTCCTGGGCGTCGCCGTTGGGCAAGACGATGCCGGCCGTCTGATGCGCACATGGTTTGTTAGCCAGCTTCATTTCCAAGGCCAAAGGCGGATGGGCATGCCTACTCGACCGTCTGAGTTGATGCCTGATGCCCGGATGACGGCGCGAATGGCATCTCCATCGCGTATGGCATCGTCAATATGCTTGAGGACGACCATGCATATCCCGTCACCCCGTGCGTAGCCGTTAGCCCGCGAGTCAAAGGCGAAGCATCGACTGTCAGGGCTAAGAAAGCCAAGCTCATTGAGTAAACAGCCGTCTCCTGGATCCATGATAAGACTTGTCCCGCCCACCAGCGCGCAGCGCGACTTGTTCGACTCGGAGTTGATGGACTCGCATGCCAAGTGCAGCGCCGTCAACGAGCTAGAACAAGCCGTGTCTAGAGTCACAGACGGGCCGCGCAAGTTACTGCAGCGTGTTAGCCGTCGTCGTCAGTGAAAGTATTCGGGCATCATGACTTACTAGAACCAACTGACGCGATTAGACAATAGGGCCAAAGCGCACCCCGGCATGGAATAATGTGGTGTGGCGAGTGTGTCTCGCTGGATGATCGTTTTGTAATCGTTTGTGAATCCACCTACGAAGCAGCCCGTCTCCGTGTCTGCCATGGCCTCGAGGGAGAATCCTGCATTTTCGAGACTCTCGTACGCGACTTCGAGAAGGAGACGCTGCTGGGGGTCCATGGCACGCGCCTCCACAGCGGAGCAGGAGAAGAAGGGGGCGTCCCATTTCGCCTCGCTTTCCCGTAGGAAATAGCCGCCGTTGCAGACCTTTGTGCTCATCAGTGTACGAACTAGCATGTGGCGTGCAAAGGGGTTCCTCATACCAGACTTCCGCGTCGCTGAGCCCAAGGATGATGTCTGGCGTCGACGTTGAACCGCGAAGAAGGAACCTTGGACCAGCTATCTCTGCCGTTGAGGAGCATTTCATAGAATTCGTCGGGAGACTTGGCGTCGCCGGCAAAGCGGCATGCCATGCCAACTATGGCAACATCACCTTGAGGCATCTTGACAATTGATTATATCGAGCCACTTGTTGACATCGGCAGTGGCGCATCAGGGGTCCCGAAATGCAGACAGGGAGTGAAGCAAACAACCCTTTGAATCAAGCCTAAAGAGATTGATTTCCCTTCTAAACATTGGCTGCCGAGAGCACCCTAATAAGTACCATTGTCCAAGAGCCGTTTGCTATCCCTCCAGACTGCTCGCAGACTTCTCGCACGCATGCAGCAGCGGATAGCGTACAATGGACAGGGGCTGTGCCAAAGCCCCGGCGCTTTGGCGACGATTGCGGCGCCAATAACATCATGGCTGGAACAGCAACAACCATTTCTAACCCAGAACGGCTACGATTCCGCCAAGGAATGAAGTGTTCGCCGTAACCCAGTGAGTGCTTTTAAAGGCCCTGTCTTGGGCGGCCATGTTGCTGCTCCCAGCTTTGTTGTAGAGCCGTGGGCGACTGATTGACTGGCGCCCGGGCGCTAGTCTATCAGTCGTTGTAGGGAGGGAATCGACTGAAATGCTATTATGGTACGCAAGCTAGCCACACCACGCGAACCCTGTTCTGTGCCTCCACTCCCGGCATCCAAGCCTGTCTGTTGTCCTGAAGGTGACGGACATCCTTCCCATTGCTTCCTTTTCTATTGCCTAGAGTTCTGCTCTTATTGCGATGAGTTAATCCGGGGCTTGGCTACGTGGCACGAAAAGGATTTTGGATGACCTCCCAGACACCCTGGAAGAACCCCCCGTGCACCACAGGGCCGGCAATATGTTGGCAGGCTTTCGGATGTGTTTCTAGAGCAAGTCTCGGTAGTCCCCGGTGCCGTGCTAGGTACGAAAACAAATTAACTGGCCAAAATTGACTGGCTCTCTAGAGCGTCTAAGCGGAATCCGGCATTCGCATCTCGCGTACCAGAAAAACAGCCAGTCAACACGCAACCGGCGAGACACGCCACAGCTAATCCCGGGGCGGAATAAATCGCGTTGCAAAATTAGGAATACGTAGTCACTGCCAGCAAAAGAAGGTGAACCGGCCCAGGACAATAATTCGATCAGCCATCTACTCCTCCATGCTCATACTCATTAGACTTCATAGCAACAAGTAATCTACGACAACATGGAAGCCCCCGGCGGCCCGGCATTGACGTTTAGGGCCCTTCATCCTACGTTTGGCGCAGAATGCTACGGAATCGATTTCTCGCAGCCGGTCCCCGAAGAAACAATCAGCGATATCCGCGCTGCTATGGCGCGGTACGGTGTCCTAGTCTTCCGACGAACCCAGCTCGACGACGCCGGCCATATTACATTTGCGCGGCAATTTGGCGAACTCGATACTTCAACCGTCATAACCATGCCTTGGGCCAAGCATCGATTGGCGCCTCATAAGGAGCTCACCGACGTGGGAAACATTGACAATAAGGGCCGCCTCATCCCCAAGCATAGCATGGCATTCCAAGGCGGCCGGGCCAACGGCCTCTTTCATGTCGACTGCTCATTTCACGCACGACGGGCTGGATACTCGATTCTCCGGGCCCACCAGCTCCCGCCCAAGGGGACCGGAGGCGGGACGATGTTTGCCGACACGAGAACTGCCTACGACGACCTCGAAGACTTGATAAAGAAAGATATGGATGGATACGTACTATGCCACTCAAGTATGCATAGCAAAAAGATTGCAGCGCCCGACTATACTCCCTTCGATATCATCAAGGCCGACGAGTTCTCCATGATCCGGCGTAAGCTAGTGCAACTACATGAACCAAGTGGGCGTATGAATCTCTATATAGCAGCTCACGGGCACCATATCGATGGGTGGAATGAGAAAGAGAGCGAGCCGGTCATTAAACGTCTGCTCCAGCACGCAAGCCAGGATAAATATACCTTTACCGTTGATTGGGAAGATGCCGGGGATCTCGTGATTTGGGTAAGCAAAAGAAACAACTCGCCCCGAACTCCTGCTTTGTCGACTTACACACCTAGGACAATACATGTGTCATGCACAGGGCCTGTGGTGGATCTTTCCAAGGTCAGTATATTCGCGATATGAGAAGAGCAACCGTCTACGACGACTCCTCGAGCGCTTGGGGATTAGACGGTGAATCTGGTACACCATCCATGTCTTCGAGCAAGATATTTCTAAGAACTGTCCGGCAGCTCTGCCGCGCACTGTCTATTGGCCTTAGAATGGCTTTTGCTAAGCTCCTGGCAAAAGGCGGGAGCTCATAGATAGACAGATGTGTATTACGCCCGTGGGGGTATATTATCGGCTTGGTTACCCAGCAACCAGCTAACTAGTAGTATGGCTAGTTAAGGCGCAGCGCCGATACCGCATAATTAGATAGGCATATTCCCCGCGCCTACGTAGCAGACTCTTTAACGCTTATATCGTATATATTGCAAAGTAAAGCTATTTATACCTATAAGCACCGAGGCAAGCGTAGGCTGCTTATATAATTTCTATATACTTAAGCTCGAGGCTTAAAGATATATTATTTCGTTAAGTTAAAGTAAGCCCTACCTACTTTACTAAGCCTACTAATAGCGGTCTAGCAGCGCTATAAGGCGTATATCTCTATATAAGTTTATCTATATATAAATTTTACTATATCTCTTTTTCCTCTTAGATATATACCTCTGTCTTATCTTATAAGGTAGCTATATACTTCTACTTAGCTAGCTTAAACGATTTACACTCTATATCTTATAAGAGCTCTTATAAAAGCTATTATAGGGGCATTGTATAATAATTCTATCTTATATAAGATTAACCGGCTAGTACTATAACCTATTAGCCTTATTAGTATAAGTTTACTATTTATATAGATAAAAGTCTTTATTTATATAGACGATCTACTTTTTCTACGCGTACCCCGCCCGCCCAGCCCCCGCCACCTAATTTAGCTGCACCAACGTGGTAAAGGAGGGAGCCGCGCTAGCGTAAAGATTATATATACCTATAAGCCTAGGGCACCTTAATTCGTTTAAATAACGCATCTTCGCGATTATCGCGAGATATGCGTATATTGCGTCGTATATTACGGCCCGGCTAATAGTCCGGCCTAGGCTACGTGGGCGTGGGCTGCGTAGCTAGGATAACCTCCTCTACCGACGAGGCCGGCGTAGCCCTTGCACCTCTGCCCCGTCTCCCTCGAGATCCCCTTCCCCGTGTATTTGCGCGCGCTCGCGATCTTCCTAATAACGGCCGGGTAGAGCCCTGACTGCCTCCTTTATCGATCTCGGCTTATATGCGCGTGTGAGAGCGCTACTAGGAGGTATAGGCTGACAAAGTACTCGGGTATATAGTACTAATATATCGGCAGGGTATCGGCAGGGAATCGTGCCTACCCCGCTCGTATATTATAGACCTCTCGCTACTCCGACTAAAGAGGAAAAATCCCTCTTCCTATAAGCTTTAGTCTTACGACGAGGAGAATATAATATATATAGTATAGTACCTCTAGCTATCTCTACTACCTAACTAATCGTACTATAATATATATTCCCTTATAATTTTTAAAGCTTCCCTTTTTAGTTACTTAGTAAAGATAGCTACTTAGAGAAGACTATATAACGCTCCTATAGCGCGATATAGTAGTTAACTAGTCGAGGCCTCTTTATTATATATATTAGGTATTTACTTAAGAGATAAAGAACTAGAAGATATATCCTTAGAATAGACCCTTATTATAGACGATATTCTAACTATATCGAAGATATCGCTACTTATAGGCGTAAGACCGTTAACTTATAAAGAAAAGCTTATAGCCTTATAAGCGCGTACTAAGAAGCTAGAGGAGATAAAACGCTTATAAGACCGCGTTATATAATTAAAGGAGGAAATTACTAAATATACCGGCGCTATTACTATCTATTTAGGAAAGCGTCGATAGTCCTACTCCCTTAGATTAGATAGTAGTTGCGGTAGCGAGGTTAAGATTAAAAATATCGCTTAATTATCTTAACCTACTAATATATAGAAATATCTAAACTAAACTTATAATCTAGAGGATGCCTTTAAGGCAGCGCCTAAACGCTTTTATTACGATAAAACAAAGATCCTCTATATAATAGATTATATATATAGCGACTATAAAGTAAGATAGCGCTAATACCTTAAAAAATAAACGCTAACTAATTAAACTAAATATAGTATAGATTAGGTATACTTTAAGGAATAGATATTTATCTTAATTAAGGATACTATAAATAAGGAGATACTATTAGCGAGATAATTAAAGGAGGCTCGCTAATAAAAAGGCTAGTCCCCCTTAGAGTTTAGCTTATACTTTAACTCCTTAAAGAGGTATTTTAAACGCTTATCGGAAAAGGCGTATACTTTTATATTTTTTGCTAAGCTAGAGCTATAACTTTAAAACTAAATTAACCTTTATTCGATACTTATTTATACCTATTAATAGGAAGAGCTTATATAAGTCGCTTAACGATATTAAGATACTACTACTAATAAGAGGCAACGTACTAATATTACTTTTACCCCTAAAAGAACTAGGAATAAAAGTAGTACTATACCTTAAGGTAGTATATATAGGGGAAGGAATTAAAGAGGCTAATAAGCTAAGCTAAATTATTAAGGAAATACTACTAATTCGACTAATACCTAGTAAGCTAGCGATATACTTACTAAGGGCTAAACTAAGGGACGTTATTAAAGAAGAGGATCTTTTACTTAATTAAGAATTCTATATTTCTAATATAATAAGCTAGGATACCTATCTATAGAATATACTAATTCTTTAAAGGTAGAAACCTTAGTAAAGACTCTTAAACTTAATACCGTAAAATAAGAAAAAGGTAAGATATTAAGGTAAACGCCTCTTCCTTAGTAAACTTAATACTTATAGGATAGTTACTTAAAACTCTTATAATAATATTAAGGCGAAACCTTACTAAAGTCCTTATATACCTAGATACTTATAGTACTATTAACCTTATAAACGTATACTTTACTTAATAATAAGGATTACTATAAGTAGCGCTATTATACCCTAAGTTATTAAAGCTTAGTAATAGTAAGGTAAGAGAGTATAGAGTATAGTTAGTACCGCTTTAAATAATAGATATAAGAGGTACTAAAAAGATAATTACTTATTTCTATATTAGTACTAATAAGTTAACGCTAAACGATTAGGTATTAATCCTTTTATTAATTACTACCTTAGAAGATAAACGTATTTATATTATCTTATAAAAATAATAGTAATAGTTTAAGTATTAACTAAGTAGCGAAACCCTATAAAATCCTTAAAGATTTCTTTAAGAATATAAAAATAAGGTAAAGGTATATATAATAGTACTTAATCCTAAGCTAATCCTACTATTAGATAAAGATAAGGATAAAAGGATTTTATAAGAAGAATAAGCTAAAATCTTACTAAGTTTTTACTAGTTTAAAGATACTTTCTTAGCTAATAAATCTAATTTATTACTAGCTAAAAAGGGAACGGATTACTTAATTAATTTAATCCTTAATATAGAACCTTTTTATAGACTAATTTACCCTTTATTATAAAAGGAACTCTAAGTATTACGCGACTAGATCTAAGATATAATAAAAAGGAAAATAATCTAAGAGTTAAAGAGCCTAGCTAAAGCGCTTATCCTTTTTATTTTAAAAAATAATAGTACCTTATAGCTATATATAGACTACTAAGGACTTAACTAGGTTATATAAAAGAATTAATACCCTTTACCTTTTATTTTAGAGATTATTAACCGCTATTAAGGAGCTAAGTATTTTTCTAAGATTAATATATAAAATACGTATTAATATATTCGAATTTAAGAAGGAGATAAATAAAAGACTACTTTCTAAACGTATTATAGATATTTTAAATACTTAGTAATACCCTTTAAACTTACTAATATACTAGCTATATTTTAGAGCTATATTTATTAAGTACTTAAGGAGCTTATAAATATAATCTATATAATCTACCTTAACGATATCCTTATATACTTTAAGATAAGAAAAGAATATACTAAATACTTAAGATAAGTAATAGAAAGGCTAAGGGCTATAGAGCTTTATATAAAACTATTAAAGTATATTTTCTATTAATAATTAGTTAAGTTCCTTAGGTTTATATTATCTATTAATAAGGTATTAATAGACCCTTAATAAGTAAAAGTAATAGCTTAATAGCTTAAACCTATAACGTACTATAATATTTAGGTTTTCCTTAGGTTTTATAATTTTTACCGATAATTTATATATAAGTACTTAGGAGTTATAGCGCCCTTAACTATATTATTAAAAGGGAGTAAGAATAAGAAGAAGCTAAGGAGTATAGAGCTAAACCTCGCTAAAAGGGTAGCGTTTTAAGCTCTTAAGGATACTTTTTAATAAGCCTTACTCCTTTAATATTATAATCTAAAAAGATATATTTATATTAAAATAGATATATTATAATTCGCGATAATAAGGATTATCTCTTAACTTAATAATAAAGGGCGTTACTATCCGATTATATTTTAATTAAGGAAGTTTACTAAAGCCGAACTTAATTATAGTATTTTAGACTAAGAACTCTTTACTATTATTAAGTTATTTAAATACTAGCGATATTATATTAAAGGGGTAGTATATAAAGTAAAGGTATTATTAGACTACTATAACCTTTAGACGTTTATATACTAGACCTCCTTAAATAGGAGGTAAGTAAGATAGTATATATATTTAGTACTATTTAACTTTATAATTAAGTATTATATAAGTAAATCTAACCTAGCGGACGCGCTATCGAGAATACCTAGATATAAGGGTAAGAAGCCTTTATTTATAAAACTATTACTAAAGCTATAAGCGAAATTAGCTACTATTAATACTATATCTATATAAAGAAATAATAAGGCGTTTTTATAAATAAAGAGACGCTTAACCTTAAGTTAATATAAGTATAGTAAAGTGCCTTTATATAAGGAAAATATATAAGCTTATCTATAGTAAAACTATAATAATTTAGGCGCGAGACCTAAACGATTAGCCGATTAAGCTAAAGAGAGAGCTAGTTATAAATAGTTACTCTTAAGAAAGACTATTAAAGAAGCGGCCTACTATATAAAGGTTTATATAATAGAAGTTCTAGAACTATTATTAAAGTTATTAAAACGTACTTAGTCGGTTAATATAGTAATTAGTAAGCTAAAGGAAACTAAAGACTTC